CCCAGCCACATCCCCTCTCGAGAGACTTGTCTCGACCCACAGGCACCGCCCACCACTCCCCGCCCTCCTCGCGCCCTCATCCCCTGCCTCCCCCCGTCTTTCTCCCACCATGGACGCCGCTGCTGGCAACGATGAGGAGGTGCTGAGCCTTCCCCTTGCTGTTCGCCTCGAGCACAAGGTACACCCTCGCTGGCCCCTGAGCTCAGCACATTTCCCGGCCCCCGGGATCTCTTCCCTCTTTGCGGGCATGCATACTCATTTCTCCCTTTCTGCCCCTCCCCTCCCCCATGCACACATACGTGCTTGTAGTCCTGGAAAGCCCGGCGCAGTGGCTACGAGGAGTTGACTACTCTCTTCCGGACGCTGGACCCGGATTCGCGCGAATATGACCGCTGGCAGCCCCTCCTCAAGGGCATGTCTGCCGACACCAACAACATTGCCTTGGACGCCGGGTTTGTGGCGATCAGCACCTTCTTCGAGAATGCCGACCGGGTGGGTGATGCCCCTGCTGCCGTGCTGCCGGGGCTGGTGAACAAGGGGCTGGCTTCGCCGCGCTCCATCACCCGCAGCAAGGCGCATGACACCATCCTCGCCATCATGGCCGCCGGCACGCCGGATCCGGTAGTTCAAGAGCTACTTCCCTTCCTCGACAACCGCCTGCCGAAGTTGGTGGCCGCTGTCATTGCTGTCCTCAACGACGCGGCCCTGTACGTGGCCCACCTGCTGGCATACTCCCCGGGTCACCGATGGTCCCTCCGCCCCTCGAGCTTCGTCACGATGTCCCCACAGCTGACCCATTTGTGTTCACCTGAATGGCCAGGCAATTTGGCACCAAAACCCTCAATCCGCGGCCATTGCTTGCGTGCTTGGAAAAGATTTTCGCCCATTCGGACCCCGGCGTCCGGAGTGCCGGCACCCAGCTGGCCGTCAGCCTCCGGCGTTGGATCGGTGTCGCGCCGCTGACAGCTCTCCTGTCGAACCTCAAGCCGGCTCAGGTGCGTGCAGATCTGCCCCACGCCTGGTTCTTTCCCTCTGCCTCATTGTGAAGGCCGCCCAGATTGGCTTGCTCTTCTTCCTTCTTTTTTTTGTTGCCCTGCCACGACCGAATGCCTGATCCACTCGATTGCCTTTCGTCTCAGCAAAATGAGCTGAAAGCCCTGTTCGATGCTCAGCCAGCCGATCCCCCCGTGCAGACGCGCTTCACTCGGGCTCAGCTTCGGGCTCAGGCCCTGGCGGCCGAGAAGCCGGCAGCTGCCACCGGCGGCGCCGATCTGGACGCCGGGCTCGAAGCCGGGGATGATGCCCCGGAAGAGCCGGCCGAGGTGGACCCCTTCTCATTGCTGGAGCCCAAGGATGTGTCATCCAACATCCCCGACAACCTGGAAGAATCGCTTGTATGTGTGCCTGCACTTTGCTGCCGCTCTCCCTACCGACTGCCTCCCGTGTCACCTGGCCTGGGGCCTCCCTTTCTGACATACATGCTGGACACAGACTGGCGGGACCTGGAAAACCCGCAAGGAGGCTCTCGATGAGCTCATCAAGGTTGTGGATTTCCCCCGTTTGGCCCCCTCACCGGCATTGGCGCACGCCGTTCGTCTTATGAAGAAGTCCCTCGGCGACACGAATGTCATGGTGGCCATGGCTGCCGCGCGAGTGATCGAGCTGGCGGCACTCGGCCTGCGCGAGGCCTTCGAGCCGCTTGTCAGCGCGGTGCGGCCTCATCACCCTCTCACTTGCCCTTTTGCTTGTCTCTCTGCCCTCCTCCGGGATGTGTGTGTGTGTGTGTGTGTGTGTGTGCCCAGCGCGCCATTAGCTGACCTGCCTCGCGCTCGCCTCTCCCCCTCTCCCTCGCTCCCCCTCTCCCTCGCTCCCCCACTCCCTCTCTATCGGGCAGAATCTCGGTGCTCTGATCGACATGTTCAAGGAGAAGCGCCGCAATGTGGTTGAGGCTCTCGCCAAGGCCGTGGACGCGTCGCTCCTGTCGTGCACCATCTTTGAGCATGCCGAGACCTTTACCCCCGGTCTTGGCCACAAGAATCCCAGCATTCGCAAGGAGACCTCACTGGCCTGCCTGCGCTACCTGCAGAAGGTCAAGACCATCCCGGATCAGCCAGAGGCCCGGTATCTGCGTGAGCAGGCCACCAAGGTACATATGCGCCGGCCTCCTTCTCCGGATCCCTGCCTCGCCCTTCTTCTCACCCTCCTCCGCCCGCCCTGCCGCTGCGTAGCTCATGGACGACTCGGATTCGACCATCCGCGAGTGTGCCTTTGACATCCTCGGCACGCAGATGCGTCTCCACGGGGAGCGCTTTATGGCCGGGGTCCTCGAGGGCACGGACAAGATCAAGCAGGAGAAGATTCGCGCCGCCTTCGAGAAGGCAACCGTGGTCGCCAAGCCGGCCCGTACCGCGGCGGCGGCGGCGGCGGCAGGGGCGGCGGCGGCGGCTGCCCCGGCGGCGCGCCCCTCCGCTTCGGGCGCTGCCACGGCTCGGCCAGGCGCCATGGCCTCTAGGCCAGGTGCCGCCTCCGCCGGTGGTGCCAAGCCTGGACTCATGCGGCCGGGTGTCACATCTACTGCTGCTGGTCCTGCCGCTGGCACGGCCGGGGGGCGGTCCCTGCCCCCGACGGCGGGAGCCGCGCCCGGTGGGGGAGCTTCTCCTCCGATGTCGGCCGTCACTCCGGCTGCGTCGGCCCCGGTCCCGGCCCCGGCCCCGGCCGAGCCTTTTGCCTTCCTCCCGTCCAATGCCCGGGTGCGCGAGGCGCGCATTCGCCGGGAATTGCGCTGGCAATTTGACCAAGCTCGGCCGGAATTCCAGCAGAGCTTGGCCGGGCAAGTTGAGGGGCACCTGACGCCCGAGCTGGCGGCCCTGGTGGCATCGACCGACCCCCGGCGCCATGCCCAAGCATTGGACCTGTTCGAGCAGGCGGTCGGCCAGACGGCTCCCGGGGGGCCTGGCGGCCCGGCCGGGTCTCCGGACGAGCTGTTTGCCCTGCTGGACCCGAATGTGGACTTGCTGTACAAGTTCCTGACGCTGCGGCTGTTCGATTCGAATACCGCCAACAACATGAAGGCCGCCTCGGTGCTGGATGCCATGCTCGGTGTGCTGGAGGCCCGGCGTCGTCCATTGGCCGACTATGATGCCGGAATCCTGGTCCCTGTGTTGGTCATGCGCCAGGGCGAGCTCCGGGACCCGGTGCGCCGGGCCTTGCGCCAAATCAACCACCAGCGCATCCCGGCGGTTTATCCGGCGGCCCGATTCTTTGCCCTGGTGTGGGACACGGTCCAGCGCCCGACCAAGAAGCTCCAAATCCGTGTTGATGGCCTGGAGATTCTGGCGGGTCTGGTCACCACGCAGGGGGTTGCCGCGTGTGGCGCCGGGCCTGGGGCCGATCCCGCGGCCAGCGACCCGCGCCTGGATGCCGGTGGCCCGGGGCGCTTTATTCCGCAGCTGCTCAACCTGGCCGCCGGCGAGCCGGCAGCATCGGCCCTTCGGCAGACGGCTCTCAATCTCCTGCGCCAGCTGTACCTGCTGGATGCCGGGATCCTGCGCCATGTACCGGCTGCCCATCGGCGCATGGTGGACGAGCGTCTGAAGAAGGACCTGAAGCCGGGCGCCGCTCCGTCGGTTATCTCCGGTGGTGCAAATGCCCAGCCGCCATCCATGGTTGGTGCTGAGCCTGCCATTGCTGCTCCCGTGGCCGAGCGTCCGGGATCCGGCTCCTTCGCCGCACCCCTGCCAGTCCCCGCTGCGGCGGAGCCCCCCGCTCCGGTTGCCCCCGCCGGCAGCAGTGTGCCCTTTGGCCAGATGCCCCTGTCAGCCAGCAGCTTTGGTGCTGACCGAGGCTCGCTTCCGCGGTTCTCCCTCCAGCTGTCTGACAGCGTGGCCCATGCGCCTCTTTCGGCTGGCGGTGACGCTGGGACCGAGCGGACCAAGTGCGTTTCTCTCTCCTTCTCTCTCTCTCTCTCTGTCTCCCATGCACTCTTCCCATACTACCGCCTTCTCCCCTACGCACACACACACACACACGTGTTTCCTGAGATCCTCACACATTACCCTGTTGTTCCGGACCTCTAACACCCCCCCCCACCCCCTTCCCAAGCTTCGCCGATGTTGAGTCCCTCAAGCGCCTGGAGAAGCTCCTCTCCGTGTCGCCAATCGCCAAGGTCAGTGAAGTGGACCATATCACCACGAGCGCGGTCCGGCAGCTGCATATGTCACTTTCGGCCTCCTTTACGGGTGTCACCTTGCCCGGGCAGCAGCCCGATGCAGCAGGCACCCCGGCCGATGTCGGGCGTCTGGCCATGCACCTGGTCGGTGTGCTGGTCCTGGTGTTCGGGGACTTCATCCTGGCCCAGAGCGTTGGCTCGGAAGCCGTGGGGCTGGTGGCCCGAGAGCTGCTCCTGCGTCTGCTGGACCCCCGGGTTCGGTCACACTTCCCCAATGGCGAGCATCTCAGCCGAGCCTTTAACTTGGCCATGACTCGGGTTCTGGAGAATGGCGATGTGTCCCGGTCAATTCACGTCCTGCTGGGCATCCTGGGGGCTTGCTTGTCCGGCCGCGGAGCCGGCATCCTGAGCATTGGCTCGCCAGTTGACCTCGACCCGCGTCAGCCACCCGTCGAGCGGGTGGCCGATCTGGTTATGAAGTGCATCTGGAAGATGATGAACAGCCAGGTATTCTACCGGTGGCTGGCCAATCCGGCCTCCAATGTGGACGCCTTCCTCCTGGACCTACACAGTGCGTGTTTCCCCCCGCCCCGCCCCCCCCCCC